GTGAGGGTTAAACAGACAGCTTCAGGGCAGAAGGTAAAATAATCAGAAGGTTCATTGCTTTGATTTGCTCAGCTTCATACTCATTTTCTGTTTGTTTGATTTGCTTTTTTGAGACAGGGTCATGCTGCATGGCTCTTTCTGACCTGGAGCTGCATAACCCCCTGCCTCTGCTAACATCTGCACCACTGCCCTGCTCCCCTGGTGAAGTTCTCCATAGACTCTTCCCCAAGATATTCCTGTGTCAGATACCAACCTGGACTCACTACTCCTCATTTGCTTCCTATGTAGAGCCCATTTTGAGGTCACAGGCTGGTATAGAAAGTGCCTCTGCATAGGTTTCATGTATTACAGCATTTGCATGAAGATTAGGGAAGAAGCAGGTCATGCTGGGGCTTTGTTATGAAAACCATTACTAGCAAGCCTGCTGTTTCCTTGGTTTGTAGATAGCCGGCCATAATGTATCTTAGGATCGTGCTATGATGTGTCTTAGGGCATTATCCAGAAATAAAACAGAAGCTGCTTCAACAGTAGTTCAGTCAAACCTCCCATTTGGGAAGGACATTGTACTTCCCACTCCTTTATTTTACTTTGGTTTTCTTAGTCATGCTAACTGTGGTTGGTCTGTTCGTTTCTTTTCCCAGAACCTGTGGTTTCCTGAGAACAGAGTGATGCTGTGGTCAGCAGCTCAATTAAGCTGAGATCTGACATTTTCCTCTCTCCTTAGAGTCCTCAACACTGGGGTATGGAATCACACAGGTGGAATGAAATCTCACATTCCAGTTTTTTCTCTTGGCCACTCAAGCCTACAGCAGCCTCAGAATGCTGCCTGTGGGTCATTGCTCGAAAACCATGGCACTAATGCTATCAGAGATGGCCTTCTAGTTTGCAGGCTTTACAGTCATTTGTCTTTTAAATTAAGAGGACAGGAGCCGTAGAGCTGAGGATAGATAAGGAATGGCAGCTGTAGTACAGGCCACTGGGGTGTTTGCAATACTGCTGTGGTGTCTTCGAGCCAGCTGGAATGTCCCCAGGGTTAACTTGCAGGTAACTGCACAGACACTGCTCTGGCAGGTACCAACTAGATGAAGCAGCATGCTCTCCAGTCTCACTTAGATGTTGGTCCTGGGTCTATGCCTTTCCTGTAATCTCAGTACTTAGAAAGTAGGAACAGGATGATCAGAACTTCAAGGTCATCATCCTCAGCCACGTAAGAAACTTGAGACCAGTCTGCTCTACCTGAAACCCTGTCTTCAGAAAACAGCAGAATTCTCTGGGGTTCCACTGGCTCCTCCCAAGGGATTTTAGTGGAAGCCACTAGAGCTGTTTTACTGCTTTGGGATGAGGTCTCAACTAAGCTCATTTTGCAGTGTCTAGCAGCACACAAGTATAGTACCTGCTATTGTCCTAAGCACAGAAGAAGCTAGGGCAGCTTTCAAGACAAGTGCTCTTGAAAGTGATCTCTACCCCACCTCCACTCCATGATAGAGGGCAGATTTTACAATAACTGTGACTCTCGGGTAGAATTCACCCAGAATAGTTAATATGTTTCCCTAAGCTCAGACTTACTAACAGAAACCCACTTAGATGCTAAAGAAATGGGCTGTGTGTGTCTCAGCTGTGAGTAATGGGCTATGCATGATTAAAAAGGCTTCTCAGAATGGCCTTGCTTATGTAATTGAGGATCGATACATTTTAGAAGGGTTTTATAGGTGAGCCACACTGTTACTTGGTAATCAGCTGTCATTTTCAAGTAGTTAAAAGGGTCCTTGGAAAAAGCCCAGTGGACTGACTGTGGCTTCCTAATTGCTAAGGATTGAAACTCCAAAGCCCTCTGGATTATGAGCGTTCTTGAATTTTTTATGGGGAAGAAATTATTTTTTATGTAGGATAATTTTCATGTCAAATGTTGCATTAGCTAGCAGGGAGCGGTATTGGCAAGTTGTAGTCTTGTCCTCGCAGATCCCATCTTCTCTCTGAAGTTAACATGCGCAGTCCAGAAAGAAGATGAAATGAGCAAGAAGGACAAGCTGGGCATGAGTCACAAGAAGACACCACCCATTGTGTCTAACAGCCCTTGGCATTCTTAGAGCATTCTAATCCTGCTGCCAGAGAGCTGCCACTGCCCTGCAGACTCTATTAGGGGAAGGGCGGAGGCCTCTGGAACATTCTCCGAATTTCCTCCCATCAGTAGAAGGAAGGACTAGGGATTTCATGGGCCAAAGGAAGTGACACCCAACTGATGACTACAGCAGTCCCCAGTGGTGTCTGTGTACCCCTGTTGACTCCTGATTGCACAGACCAGAGCATGCGCACATTCTGGGCCTGTGCACACAGTACCGCCAGCCAGTAAGGCCAGAGTAACTCTCAGTAGTGGAGATATCAGCAGTCAGGGCAGTTTTATTACTTTTTTCTCAGAATAAAAGGACCTCTCTTGGGATTAGTGGGAAAGGAGATGCATAGAGCGTTTCCTATTTCCTGACTGTCTGTTTCCACGGCAATCTGTTTGTCATCAAATGGATCTTTGCCCAAATTAGCTGCAACTAAAAATACCGTCACCCCATTTCTATCAGTTTGGTCATCTTTTCATGTGTGCACTTTGTATTATTTCCTTTCCCGTTCCAAACCCCTGTGGGGATTACAGCCCTGAGGTGCTTACTTCTGAGTGTTCAGGTGACGGTGTGCTTCTGACTGGGACCTTCTACACACTGGGCGTGCAGCAAGGACTGCGCGGGTGGCCTGGAGGTGCTGTGTCACTAGATCATCCTTACCCCATGTCTCCCATGCCCTCTTGCCCTGTCCTTGTTAAGTTCTGTCAGCCCTATAATGTGGCCAGCAGTACAGGGCTCTGCAAAGGAGCTTGTACACTGTCTGCCGGGCCTCTCCATGTTACAGCTGGGAGTTCAGTCGGTGCTTGACAAATGTCAGGTTTTTCAGAGGTGAGAGGGGACAGCAAGCTAGGGCGTCCCAGGTCACTGCACACTCTGCTGACCAGATTGATGTTTTCATTAAGAGTAATTATTAAGTTGATATTGATTTTAACATGTGCAGCCTAACTTAGAGATTTGGAAGGTCAAAGGCTTGTGTTTGTTTTAAGGTATATGAACTAAACACAGGGATGTCACCAGTTTTTCATTTCCTTACTGTTCAGTGCCTGCCTCCACCTCTTAGTAAAAGTCCTGTGTGGTTGGTGTGGTGGGCTCTGCAGTTTCCAGGCCCGCTGGCAGGGCACAGTACTGACTGGGCCCAGCCGGTTCCTGCTTAATAGGGCTGTGACCTGGCTTGAACTCTGTAATGAAGGAGGAGCAGACTTGCTTGCTCCTCTGCATGCCTCTGTCTCCCCCACACTCCTCTCTATTATCCAGGAGGAAATTGAAGAGCAGATTTCTGCGTTCTCCTGATGCTGATGGGCTGATGTAATCTTTTCCACCCCAGAGTCAGGAAAGTAAAAGCCACGCAGTACAGATCCAATGCTCCACAGCTGCCCAGGGCTCCAGCTGTAGGCTCTGTATGCACGCCTGTGTTTTTGACAGCCTTGAGGCATAATTTACATCCCATAAACAATTCAGTGATTTTTTTTATTGAATTAATTGTACAAGCATTACTAAGATCCAGTTTTAGAATTTGTTTATCACCCTCTGAGATCCTCAGTACAGTTAGTGGTCAACTTTAAATGCATATCCCTCTTCCCTGTCACAGGAATCGAGCAGTCTTCCTTTTTGTAGATTTGTATTTTCTGGGTGTTTTATAACAGTGGAATTAACTATATGATATATAGATACCCATGCATGCTACTCCATTTTAACTCTGCGATGTGTAGATAGAAATGTATGCCACTCCATTTGCCTTCCATCATGTGGCATGTTTCTAGGCCCATCCATTGTTGTAATCTAGGATTATAACTTGTTCCTTTTCACTCCTGAGTAGTATTCTACTGTGTGGATGTACCACATCTTATCTAGCTCTGTTCCATTAGTCAGTCTGGTTGTTTCCCACTTGAGGCCAGCATGAGTGATGCTGCTAAAGGACTTGTGGCTTTTTGCAGGGACATAAGTTTTACGGTACTTTGGATACGTGCCAAGGACACAGACATTGTTTTGCACGTGCTCACTGAAGTTGTCGTCCTTGCTGTTCTGTCCCCTCTGTGTCTTCGTTCTGCCATCAGTCCTGCACGTGGCACTCTAGCAACTTCAAGGTAGTAGTTAAGTGTTGAGTTCAGAGTAGGGGAAGGAGGGGTGTATGTGTGTGTGTGTGTGTGTGTGTGTGTGTGATACCCAGTATGTTGATTTATATTGAGAAAGTGATTTTTGTATCTTAAATCCTTTTTTTTTTTTCAGTTTCTCTGTGACTCTGCATAATGCTTTGCTGGCTTGTGCTTCTGATTATGTACATCATTTTAATATGAAGCAGGCTTGGATGAGTCTGGTGAGCCCCATTAGTTCCTAACTGATAGAATTAGGGAACCCTTAGAGATTGTTTATTAAGGAATGCATCTGCTGTTTCCGTGAATACAGGGCTGTTGCCACTGGCCTGTCCAAAGTCCTATAAGCTGTGTGACACCCTTGGCATGTCAGGTCATTCACACTGCTTGGTCTGTTGAGGATTTGCAGGTGTTGTGCTCAGAGTGGAGTGTGTCTTGAGGACGCTGGGGAAGTAGCCCTTCGATCCTAGGCAGGCTCCCCACCATGTGGACTTGGAAGTAGGAACCTAGAACACTGGCTCTGCACTGTTTTGAGAATACATACTTGCCCAAAAGACAGCTTTAGCAGTGACTAGAGAGAGAGAAAACACATGACCTCCTGAGAGGAAGGGAAGGGAGCTGACTTGCCGCTCCCCAGTGCTGAGGTCTGGGACAAGCACAGTGTGTGCTGAGCTGACTCTCAGGCACTGATGTCTGATCAGACAGCTGATCAGCTCAGAAGGATGGTTTTGGCTCCAGATGTACATTGTGTTATAGGGCCGTTCATTATGAATCTTTTTTTTTTTTTTTTTTTTTACTTTTATCTGCATTTATTTTATGCTAAATTTATTCCCGTGCCATGAGCTTCTGTTTCTTCAGTTTCTTCTGGGATATCTTTTTCTTCTGTGCAACCTCCTCTTCTGGCTTTGGAACAATTTGTTCCTTCTCAGTGAGGATCATCTCAATGTGGCAGGGGGAGCTCATGTATGGGTTAATCCGGCCATGAGCTCTGTAAGTTCGTCGGCGCATCTTAGGTGCCTTGTTCACCTGTATGTGTTCAATTACTAGAGAGTCTACATCTAAACCCTTAAGTTCAGCATTACTCTCTGCGTTTTTAAGCATGTGCAGCAAAAACTCTGCACTCTTCTTTGGCCACCGTCCCTGTGTCCAGCCCCATTGTTTGGCCTGGGCTCACCTACCAACTCCACCATTATACCGACGGAATGGCACACATTGCTTTTTTAAAGTGACATCCTTCAGGTACTTGGTAGCTTTGCGGATGTGCATGCCCTTGATGGCCTGGGCAGTTTCCCGGGTGTTCTTAAAGTGAACGCGAAGGTTTGAACCTCGTGATTTACAAGATTTTGTGGGATTTTCCGGGTCAAGAGAGTAGCGAACCATCTTGACGAGTCACCTTTCGCCGCTTACAGGAAGAGCTCATTATGAATCTTGATGGGTTGATGTGGCTGTCATGGTTAACTATGCCTCCAGGCATGTGTAGACAAGAGTCTGGAAGGACTGCTGGAAACGCCTTTCAGTCCAGCAGAGTTAGTTGTGCTGTGAGACCTCCCAACATGCAGTCTCCTATTGTGCGTGTTTTTACCTTGTGCTCATGTTCTCAAGAAGGCAGCAGTCAGGGCAACCTAGAAGGCAGGTGTTACTGTTGAGTGTTCCCAAGAGTTTGCTGTAGTTTCAGAAAGGTTCACAGGATGCTTTTGTGGTGTCTGGGCAACTGAGTTATAAACCTGGTGTAGTTTGTGTCATTAGCTATGTGTTCCTGCAGGTCATTCACCACTGCATTGCTGTGCCTTCGTGGCTTGCAGACTTCAGCCTGCCAATAAAGGCGTCCACATGCACACACTGTAACCCACCTTTGTATTTCAGGTGGGACATTGTGTTAAGGTTTCCTCACCCAAGCGCGTGTACTATGTGCGTTAGGTTTTCTACGAGTTTTCATTTCAAGCTAGTTTTAAAAGTGAGGCGCTGGCTCCAGGTTCCCACAGGTTTTAGACCATAGCACTTAGTCTTTGTGTGGGAGAAGTTTCTATGGGTGATGGGGAGGGCTTGGAGGACGGGGAGGCCTTGGAGGATGATGCAGGAGACCAAAGCTTCCAGGTGGTAGAGCTCTGTCTGCCACCAAAAGTGACCCACTTGCTGCAGAGTGATTCTCTGATGGAGACTCACAATTTCCCCTGGCTCCTGATCTCTGAACTTGCCTTCAGGCAACCTGTAGTGGAAAAGCAGAGTTGTGCAGTGGCCAGTGTGTCTCTGTGTCTCCTTCCTTTCTCCCCCCTCCCTCTCCTTTCCTTACCATGGTAAGGGGAGGTGCATACGCCACAGCACTGGTGTGGAAATCAGAAGACAGCTCTCAGGCTCTCTTCTCACTGTGGTTTTTAGGCAGGGTTCCTGTTTCGGCTCTGTATGCCAGAGAGGGTTCCTTGTAGAGTCCGAGTGGGCCACAGGTTGTCTCCTCACTCAGTCTTGGCTGGCAGATGCAGCATCTTTACAGTGGTCCCCGGCACCCCTTCTCTATTACTGAGGGTACAGCAGCCAGTGTGGTCTCTGTTTCTACAGGAAAGCTTTATTTCAATGGGGTCTTTGTCCTGTGTTTTCATGGGTTCACCATGCTTAGCTTTTGTGATCAAACTAACTAAAGATTAAGAATTTTGGCCTTTCCCTTTTTTTTTTTTTTTTTAATTATCAAAGTAGTATTGTCTGTTAGACAAACTTTTAAAAATAGGACAAAGTTTAAAAAGGAAAACTTAAATTATGGTTGCCTGGTCATTCAGCTGTTTACTCTGAATACTTTACTGTTTTGCCTTTTAAGTTGTTTAGGGAAAATAATTATTGGAGAAGGACGGGGATGTATTTTATATTTAAGGCTTTATTTTTTTTTTACTTCAAAGGTAGTTTTCTCAAGCTCCTTTTTATTATTTAAGTTAATCAAATTCAATGGTGTTTTAAAAATTCTGCTTTTGGGAAAGATTTGTTCTGTAGCTTTCATAGAAAGTACTTTGCCTGGCCATGAATACTGGGGTTCAGCACTTGCTGTGACTGTAATCCTGAAGTTCTGGGGACTTGGACACATGTGTGTGAAATTATCCCTTGTCCTGCAGTGGATGTCTGTGGATGCAGGACAGTCTGGGGAGGATCCTGCAGGGCTGGGATGGAGACAGGCCTTGCAGATTCATTCCCTCTTTGCCTGTGACTTTCCCTTAGTGACATCACTGTGAGGAGCCAGGCAGCCTTCTTGTTTTTCCTCTTCCGTAGGTACTTGAATTGAGCTGACATCTGTTGCAAGATGTGAGGGAACTCTGTGAGCCACCCAGCAATGAGTGTGTTTAGTGTGTAGTCACAGTATGGAAATCATGGATGACGAGCCCCTGCTTAGCAATTAACTATGGGGCTATGTCACAGTATGGAAATCATGGAAGACGAGCCCCTGGTTAACAATTACCTATGGGGCTGTTGCTGTTTTACTTTAAGGGCTGCAGTGAAATGGATACTGCCAAGTTACTTCTAAGAAATGTGCACTAACACAGCCGGGTCCTCTTTTCTGGCTTTTATTAAAATGCAAATAGCTTAAACTTCAAAGCAGCATAATTGAATCCTGAAAGAAGCAGAGCCGACACTTGGCCTTTGCTGTGGCGTTTTTTATTCTATCATCTGGCCTGGCTGGCTTTGCTGACCAGGTTTCTCTCTTGACTACTTGGCTGGGTATGATGAGGACAGGAAGAGTGGACTCATGGTGGCATAGAGAGACACACTGCCGTGAAGGTGCTGGCAACGGGCATGCCCAGCAGAGCTGTTCGTGGACAAAGAGGCCTAACTATTTTGGAAGTTAGTAGATTCCTGGCATTGACCTGAAGTTCTTAGTGAAACAAAGGGAGTGTGTCTCTCTGCCTCTGCTCCCGTTAGTTTCAGAAATAAATGTCATGAAACCCAAGCAACCCTCTTCTTCTCCCAAACACCAAGCAAGGCATTTTCTGCCTCTCATGCCCAGAGTACTGGGTTGTTATTTTTAGCTCTAGAGGAAATTGCTAACTGATTACAGCCTTGCCATCCGTCAGAGCCTGAGAGCCCCGTTCTGTGTGTACACCTGGCAATGGTGGCAGCTGGACTGTGGGTTACTATAGTTGAGACGAGTCAGGCTGTAAGGACAGATTGCTAGAACTTAGCCATGTACTTAGACACAGCTCTGCCTCTTACATGGCAGGGCATTGAACCCAGGCTTCGTGACCTGCCTAGATCATGTCCTCCCATGTTCCTTCAGAGCCACATGCATCCTGGTTCAAATGAGACCATCACGTGTAACCCGTCTTTTGACTCTCCCACTTATCTGGGGAACCATCCTGTGTGTGGACTGTGCCACAACTGAGGGGCTTTGATGTTCCAGAGTCCCGCCCCAGCTTTTGAGTGCATGTGTTTCTGCTAAAGACATGTTTTTCTAGTGCTTATGGGGGCCGTGGAGAAGTCTCTTACTCCTCTGTGGCTTTTTGTACTCTGTGGTTTCTCTCATCCTGTTACATTAACCATAACACAAAAAGGACCCTGATCAGAAGGAACATGTCCCAGAAAATCCAACTAACTGCAGAGCCCAGAAATGCTGCAGGGTGACTCTGCATCTGGAAATGTATGCACTGCCTTGTATGTTCACAAAAACCTCGCAGTCTGGTTTCTGTCCAGCTGAAGCCCTTCATTTTCAGATCTCACCAACCTAGAGCTTTAGCTATGTCTGCCAGCAGACAGCCTGTTAGAAAGCTCCACTTCTCGAGGACACGTGGCGCTCAGATTGATTCTCCATGAAGTTAAGTGCTGCCACTCAGTCATCCCAGAAGTGAAGCCAAGGTGAAGTCTAGAGGTTCCTGTGTGTGACAGTAAACATAAACGTGGGTGGTGCTGCTCGAGGTTCCAGACTGGAGTGACTAGAGGCTGCGGTGAGGGCCTGGTCCCCATGGCTCATAGTATGCCTGGGGGCTCATTCACAAGGCGCACTCTATAAGTAGCAGTAATGGGTGTTGGTATTTGTCTCTGAAGAAGCAGGTGGACCCTGCTTGAGTGAGTGGAGCCAACTGGGTGCTGTTGCTTCTCACTGTTCTCTAGGGTCTACTCCTGAGAGATTTCCAGGGTCTAGTGAGTAAGAGGTGTGCACAAAGTATGTACAGCAGGCACCAAGGTTTTCCTAGCATCATGCTAGGTACTGGAACAGCAAAGTTAATTAATTCTAGAACACCTGTGTGCCTTGCACAGAGATTTCATTTAGAAGTAATCCAGTGGGAGACAGACCCAATATGACTAGGAAAGGTGCCTGCGATTGCTGCCAACACAGTTAACTAAGAGTAACTCAGCCTAATGTGCTAGTTTTATCTATACTGATGACGTGTCCGTGTGTTGCGAGACACAGAGGGGCTTGCAGCAGGTCACAGAGTCCAGAGACTGGAGAGTGGAGGGGCAAGCCTGACATGTCCTCACTATAGCTCCCTCCTGATATCATTGCTCTTCTTCCTGGTCCCTCCAAGTGTGGCACAGCTCCTTCCACTTTTCAGCTCACACAGTGCCCTCATCTGCACCCACAGTGAACGGACTTCTGACGCCTCCCTGGGATGGTGCCCTGAATGTGCCTGTCAGAGAATTCCTGCAGGCAAAATTCCAAAACTACTGTCTTGTTTTTTCAAGAATTTTTTTTAAAGTTTTGATTATGTCTATGTTTATGAGTTTGTGTGTATGAGTGCAGCGCCTGTAGGAACCAGGGAAGGCCATCAGATATCCTGGAGCTGGAGTTACGGGTGGTTGCGGCTTACCCAATACAGTACTTGTGTTCTCTGCAAAGAGCAGAAAGAGCTCTTAACTACCGAGCCATCTCCCCAGCCCCGAACTTTCGCTCTCTGAAGAGATGAAATGCTAGGTCAGTTATGATTATCGTTAATTAGTGGGTTATTCTACTCAATATGCACCTTTCACCAAAAAGCCTGCATGTGAAGTTTTGACATTCAGAAATGTGAGCTTTAACTGAGGCTTCAGCAAGATCCAGCAGTCACAATACAGGTGTTGTGTTTTCTTTTCTTGGTTTGGTTACAGACATCGGAGTATGAAGTACATGACGGCTCTAGCAGGAACTAGCAAAATCCACATTGTATGTGAAGTTAAGTACCCTAAACTCCATATGTGTACATCTAAACTTGTGGCAAATGGGCATACTGTCAAGTTCCACTCTTTACTTAATCCTGGGGAGATTTTTGTGTATGTTCGTATTTCTCGTATGTTCTGTCACTTCTGTGTGAAGTTAATTGAACGGAAGAGGATTGTGTTTTGAATGAATGCTGAGGACATGCCCGTGCTGTGTGTTCTAGTGGAAGTTTGTTTTGGAGTTCTGACATTCCTGATGCTTCACTTACCCCATACCTCATGCTGGGGAATGAATTCAAGGCTCAGCTG